TTCGTAGGTCTGGGTCCTAAGGGCTTACTAGATTCTGATTCAGTTAGGAGCCCAACATCTCCACTTGATGTTAGGGTGCTGTCAAACTTAGGAAACGCAATTAGAACCCCAAGATCATCTACCCATGAGGGGAATCAAAGGAGCTGGGAATGCGGCAAAGTAGGCCTAAGCATAATAGATTCTTTGGACGATTGTGCTAAATTTTCGGGGAAAATTCTCCGACCATCAGAGAGTAAGAATCTCAGTCCCAGTCCAAGAATGAGGGTGAAAATTCCAAATTGTCAAGCCTATACTGATTCTTTTGAGGCATCTAAATCCTTACCCAAGGATTTTTGTAAGCCTCCTTATAGCAAGAGTGGGTCTATTTCTGGCAAGGGTGAATCAAGAGTTCTCTTTGAAATTGGAGAAACCCGTCCAGAGATTGAGCCATTTGGAAAAGTAGGTCTTGTTCTTTGGACTCCTGCAGTCCATTGAAAACCCTTTCTGGTTTAACTCATTCGAACATTGATTTGATCTCTGAGATTACCATGAAAAATATGATCCACCAAGTGGGCTCTCCTCCTCATTTTAACGGGGGAAGCCAGAACTCAAGCACCTTATCTCATACAGAATTCAATTCGAAACCTTCATCCATATGTACATCAAATGAATTTGTTGGTTCCCTATCAGCTGGTGAGATTGAACTTTCTGAGGACTACACATGTGTAATTTCCCGTGGTCCTAATCCAAAAACTACTCATATTTTGGAGATTGCATCCTGGAAGGTCATCCTAATGTTTTTGGAAACCATTGTAAGAATCAAGAGGGGATAATGGAGTGCTGCCCCATGTGGCCAACAGCTTACAAACTCCAAACCAATATCCCTCTAGTGACTTTTTGAGTGTCTGTTACCATTGTGACAAGAAACTGGAGGAGGGGAAAGATATTTATATATATAGGTAACGTTATCCAGTCACTGACTGTTGTGTCATTTCTGTTTCACTTCTGAATTAGTGTTAACTTGATGGATTTGATACCCAACCCTAGCTTCGATTGACCTTGCAGGGGTGAAAAAGCATTTTGCAGTTTAAGTTGCCGGGCTCTGGAGATCATGATTGATGAGGCACTCGAGAAGAAATCAAATCCATCTTCTGGAAATTCTTCTCCAAAACCAGAAAATAATGAGGAAGTTCCTCCGCCTGGCATTTTCACAGCCACCTAGAGGCTTTTTCTGCCATGCCCACCTTGACCCTGACAAGGGTGGATGCAGTTGATCATCTGTTCATAGAAGAGCTGTCTTGTGTGCATCAATCAGCAGCCATGGATGATCATTTTGTACATCACTGCGTTTGCCATTGGTGTTTCAGCTTTCATGCTCCTGGTGGATGATGGCTCTTGAACGGCTAGTTTTGGTTTTCATATAACTAGAGATATCATGTTGTCAAACTTGCTGATACTGGTAGCTTATTTTACCCCATGCAGAAAGGGTTGAAGCCGATTTTTCTGCCTTCCCCTTCTATTCAATTTAGCTTGCAATCTACATTACCTCTGCATTATGTTAAAAATCAATGTATACTATCCGGACCTGTTTTTGACTGAAATCATACATGTGATTTTAGCAGGGTATAAACCTATTTCCTGGGAACAATGACTGAATCTTGGAAGTTTTGACGGATGTTTCTGTGAATTACAATTGACATGGATTTTATCCAATTTAACTTGTTGGAATGAGATTATGTGTTTCGCTTCAAGGCTAAAGGACCATCCATCGATGAACTGGATCGCGGTTGTTCATATCTAACTTGCTTAGATCCAAAGATTTAGATGTAACAGAAAGGGGGAACAAAAAAACTAGATGAATGTGATTCTAAATAAATATGGGCTTCCGTAGCATGCCGGTATATGAACATCGGGCGTGCCTGTTGTCTCATAAATCAAAATTCTACCTCTGGTCTGGTGAATTAGCTGGTTTTCAGAGTCTATCTTCTGGTTGTTCGACGATCTCCTTGATTTATTTTGAGTTAAAGCTTGTTTCCGGCTTTCGGTATATTACTTCCACCGATCTGCTTTTAATTAAGAGTCACCGTATTACTTCTGATCCCTTCAAAGGCATGTCTCATTGAAGTATTCAAGTAATCACATCACGGAAAGGCAATTAGCTCAAACATGTTATGATTCCTTTAAGGACCTTTTAAATGCAAACACATGTTTCAGAAATCGACGCACGAATTTTTAGAGAGAGCAGTGATTAGTCGGTGGAAAGTGCATCCAAAAGTGAGCCCACGTTTTTCAAATGGGGATGAAGCCCTTCAAGGGACACAGAAAAGCGAAAAATATGGGTCATCATGATGACTCGTGAGTTTTGTTTACACGGGAAACGCGGGGTAATTGTAGCCATTTATTCATTCTCGTATTTACCATTCTAGTTGATTCGTGAATCTGGGTTACTTAATGGAGTAAAAAAGAAATGCTAGGATATGAAACAAAAATTTATTTTTAAAGTTGCAAAAATTTTAATTTCTGAACTAATAGTATTGTTAATCTCTCATCTCATATACGAGAAATTTAGAGAAAAATCATACTTCTGCATCCGCTCTTTAATATAAGATCTCGTTTGATTTTGATTTTGATTTTAAATATAAAATCCTATTCTATTTCATCTCTTATATTTATTTATTTTTTTTTTTTTAAGATAGTCTTTTCAATAATAATAGTTCTGGTCAATAAACTTGACTAGTAAAAATATTTTAAGAAAGATAATACTTATTTATTATAAATAATTAACTTAACTTATTTTCTTAATCTACTCAAATTAGTCGATTAACTTTTATATTTAGAGCCAGAGGTATTATATGACTTATTTTTAATCCTCATTTCCTGATACTATATGACGTACTTATGAAAAGTAACGCGTTCAATTAAATTTCTTTAACTTGTTTTTTATGCGAAGTACTATAAGAAAGACTAATGTCATACTCTTTACTGTTCATGAGTTGGAAGATAAAGTTATAATAGCTCCGCTGGTTAATACTAATCTGGTACTTAATATAGGACTAATTATTAAATTCATTTTATTTTTAAATATAAAATTTACTTCTTATAATTACTAATTTTTTTAAAATTATCTTTATGAATAATCTCTCAACCATAATCAAATAAGTGAAGGAGGGTGGATATTGAAAAAAATGATTATGGTGTTTTAGTAAAAACATATCATATTTCTTATAATTAATTAATATACTTAACTTTCTTAATTTAATCAAATTAGTTAAAAAAAGTTTTATATTAAAGATTGGAGGAGTACAAGAGTTAAATAACCAATTTATGAATATTAAAAAAATTAATTAAATTAATTGTTTGTAATAAATATATATATTATTTTTTAAAACATATTCTTGTTAATCATATGTATTAGAATCATACTATTATGGAATATTTAATGTGTACAATCAGTATAGTGATTATTTTAAAAAATAAAAAAAATATAAAAGACAAAATGAATTAAGATATTATAATTAGAATAAAATTAAATCTTCAATAAACTCTTATATTAGGAACTGTATTTTACCATGAGATATTATTAATTAGTATAAGATAATTATATATATATATATATATATATATATAGATGGATATTACATTCGACCTCAATCTTGCCACTCAAACATTCCTCAAGTGAAAGTCTAATGCTCTGTCCCTTCGGGGACATCCGATGGAAAAGTTTGATACTACCCCGACGTCGAATATAAATAAGGAAAAAATTATTTTATTAAAATTTAAAAAACCTGTTTGATCATATCTTAAAAAAAATTTTCGTAACTATCCCCAATTTAACGGTTGAATTTTTACGTTGTATTTAATAATGATTATCCATTGCTAATGCAATTAATGCACTAGACATTAAACTTTCGATTTCTTTGTACAATCTTGGATCAACTCAAGTCCTAGAAGTGAGGAGTGCTCAGAAAGGATCTGCTTGGCCGATTATCCGCTGAATCGTTCCTCTTCCTTCCCATCCTCTTTTCATCCTTTACTGCCAAAAATAAACCCACTTATCCGTCAAATTATCTTCCGCATTTTTATTTCCACGAGTTCACGTAGTGAGGAAGAATGATGAAGCAAAGATCTACTTGGCAATACGTAGTCGCTGGAATAATTGGATTTATTTTTGATCGTAGATGAAATAAAGGTCGCCATTTCATCCTGCTATGTGTCGTCTTCTTTTAGGCTAATGAAATCCAATGCATTCTTCCCGTGCTCTAATCAGCGGTAACACCGGGGGATCTTCGCCAATTGGTTATAATCTTTTTAAAAATACCACTTATTCTCTTCAAATCAAAAGCTAATTTGTGATATCAGGACCATTAAAATTAAAATACTCTGTGACTACACTCTTTTGAGATTCGATTCGTTAATCACTTGCCATCTCGATCAGCTTATAAATTGGTCATCAAATTTTTAACGTCCAATAACCCAGTTTAGGTTTTCCCGAAGTCAAACACGCCGCCAGACTGTTTCGTCCAACAATTCATTCAATGTTTTTTTTGGCCACCACAATCCCTCCCCATCGGACTCAACGCCATTACGCCCCGTCGAAAGGATTTTCCCTCTTCGTTTCTTTCTTCGTTTCCAGTCTTGTTTTGGAAGGGGGATGATCACCCAAACCCAATAAAAGTTTACGACCATCACAGAATCAAAATAGTAATAACAGAGTTCATCAATCAGCTACGAAGTTTCAATAGATATCAAGCCATTAAAATTATCAACCACATAAAGCAAGTATCATTTAAAAGACTAATCATGGCAGTACATTATTTCAACGAACGCAGGTTGACAACGAAAACACAGATTGCAACGACGCTTTTCTCCCAGCTCAAGATAACACCACTAGCTGACCCCGCAATGGCAATGCCCCGACACGGAATCAAACATGGAGAACCAGGGTTCAGTTCTCTTGGCATGTGACTCGGCACAGTCGAAAGTAACCGGACAGTCAAAGATCCCCACACGTGGAATTCCTCGTACTCGATGAAGGACACACCCTCGTTGCCACTCCACCTCCCCAAAGCACAAGACTCAAGTGAACCCAAATGCAGTCTTGCCCTTACGTGACCAATAACACTTTTGCCACATCCTCAACCTCTGGTTTGTCGCGTGTTGTAGGATTTACAGTTCGAACACTTTTGAGCCACAACATGGAACTGAACGTGCGAAGTTTTCCCGCAATCATTGCAAAGGATCCATACCTGTTGAGAGCACTGTTATCAGTAAATCGCAATACAATAAGCGACCAACCTCTATTGAACCTCTAACTATCGTATACGCAAAAATAACAACCTAGCACGAGAAACCACAGGTCTTTGTATCTCAATGTAGATGATAAAGACGAAGACATAAATCAAGGGCCATATATTGGTACTGCAAGATTATGCATGTAATGCCATCACAATCTGAAAGAGGAAGGGAAAAGGTACACTGACCATTTTATTTTGGAATGGTTCAGGCATGGGAGTAGCAGCTATCTCCAGGTCAAACTTCTCCCAAACCTTCGACATATCACAGACTGACTTCGAGCAGAGTGGGCATGCGTACCTGATCCAGAATCAATAAATTAATCAAAAATCACATTAGTAATTTTTCAAACAAGGAACAAGGAGGAGACAAGAGCACCGTGACACTCACTGGAAATGTTCTCTCATTTCATTCAGGCAATTCTTGTGGATTGTATGCCCACAAGGCATAACGGTGACATCATTTATCGACTCAAATAAATACTGCAATCACCATTTTGAGGTGTGCATCAGTCAGCCTCCAGCGTTTAAACAATTGGCACAGGGATTCGAATCAACAAGCTAGGAATGTAACAAAGTGATACCTCAAAACAGACAGGGCAATCATGATGCATTGCTCCTTCCACACATGGGTGACTATTTTTCATCATGATAGAGTAGCAGCATCCTATTCAAAGAAACCATGCAATAAAACAGGTAAGAAATTTTTATCTGCTTGCCACTAAAAAGCATAGGGATTGAAGCTTACCACACTTGTAACAATGGAAGAAATTCTCACGTCCTCCAACTCTATCACAAGTAAAACACATAGGAGCATTAGTCTGTTTACACTTGGAACTGAAACAATCAATCTTACAATAAAAGCACCAGTTAAAGCATCTAACGCATTGTAATTTTGTTTTCACAAAATCCCACAACATCCCATATGCATCACAATATAAAGGGGTAACCAGGTTAGCAGTTTATACCTGCAAATCCCACAGCCATTGCAATGATACTGTTGCTTAGATATCTGTAACACACACAAAAACAAGATAGTAAATTCATCTAGCATGTGTACGTGACTTCCTGAAGATACTAACAATCATTATTTTCCACATCCAATAACTTACATCATCATCAAAGAGCTTGCATGTCTGACAAAAGTATTCTCCCATGCAAACACCACAGTTTATACAGTTCTGCCGCACCTGGAAGAAGAAGAAATTGGCTTAACAAAAACAGCAGTCAATGGGAGTAATATCTTAGTTTTAGTTTCAAGTAGCACAATGTCCATCACTTAAACATTTTAGATTAAAATCACATTACTAGCCACGGCATTTCTTTCTTACTTTAACCCAGGAAAAAATTGAATCGTGTTAAACTAGCAATTAGACTTCTCACTTTTAATTTGCATGCCACAATGAAACACAAAGATGCTGGACTCACCTCTTGTTCAGTTCCACAGAGTGAACATATTACCTGGATAAGTCAAATAAGTCAAAGTTACTAATCAGCATTTAAGAATCACAGAACTCCGATATTGCACAAATTCAAGAGACGCAACCTTTGAGATATTTAAATACAGGATCTGTCCAAAAAAGAATAAGCATACCTGTCTGACTTGATGACGAGGAATGTCATGTCTATACTTCTGATCAATGTTGATATTATTCTGCAGAAAAATGTAGTAGAAGTAAGTACCACCATAAATAAAATGAATCCCACAACCTCAGAACTATTGCTCCGAACAGCATGCCATTGTTCATGCACAGTAATGTATTTCTGGGTTGCACTGAGATCACCGGCTCCACAATGGGGGTGACTGGTAAGTCATGCCAACCATGAACTCAGCACCTAGTTGAAACTAACCAGGATTCACTTTTCTCCCAATTCAGACAACTCAGAAAACACCTACTTCCCATAGAACATCAATGAATAGCAAATGACCACATCTCCAGAAAGTCAAAGGTCCGGAAGACATACTAAACTCCATTTCACTGAACACCAAGCAAATCATCTCCTAGAGATAATAGACATTGAAAATTTAAACTACTTCCAAAGATAAGATGACGGAGGAATGACTCACTTTTGCTTCATTGTGACAATGACGGCAATCAAAAATCTCATTACAACAAGGGGCTCTAATACGACATCTCCTCTGGTAGTGTGAGCATCTGCGGAGAAAGCCAAGAACATTGCTAAAGGAAACGGGAGATAAACAACTTATAAAGAAAACAAGTGATTATGGCTGAGACATATACCCATATTGCATATATCCTCTTTCTCGTAATTCATTGATCTCATTGTCATCTGTTGCTTGACTTGATTCTTCTACAGGCACGTGATCTGCGTTTGACTGTGGAGCATACATCTCATTCACATCCACATGTTTCAAGTCTTTGCACTCAAAAGACAGAGACTCTGAGTGCATGACAGCAACCTCTCCCATAATGCTAGTTGTCTTTGTAAAGATACTAACTTATACAGAAGTAGGCAGTAAGTCTAGCAACCTGCATGATGGAACGGATTTAGAAACAATCCTAAAACTTTGAAAGGCATATCTAGTCACCCCATCAAGCCAGGCAAACACCGAATGCACTGTTGCTTTCTTCTATCTGCTGGAGACCAATTGAAATCGGCAACAACAAAATTGAATTAAGGTTGGACAGCTCCAATCAGCATCACTCCAAGAGAACACATCAAAAAAAGTGCATATACAAGAATTCCACATAAAACAAGAAGGTAGCACTGGGGTACTTGACAGCCTCCAGCAGTAAATAGAAACCAATAGCATCGAATGGTCACTTGACATCTTGAAGAACTCTTGGAACCAAATCCAACTATACTGGAGCCATCCAATAGACACTCCAACCTATGTTAAAAGCAATAAATCACTCAATCAAATGGATTCCAAATAAATGAAATACAGTATATGTGTTTATTTTATTGTCCATGAAGGACAACCCTACCTTAATTGGCATTTCTGCATCGACTCCTCCAAGAACTGAAACTTACCAAAATCAAATATGTTCCATAACATCCGCACCATTGGTAGATCCTTTGCTCAAATAAGCATTTATTTCCTTCATTATCTAGATCACTTGACAATCAAGAGCTATATAACAATGTTGTGGCACCATTGCTGGAAACAACATTAACGTCACTCCAGCAATTAAATTATTCATATTCAGGATTACAAAGTCATTACCCAAATAAGCAGTGCCCTGGGTTTGTCTCTTCTAACAGCAGATGCTATTAGACCAAGCTCAGGCAGATTAATTGTCTGGATGAAGAATGAAGGGAAGATGGTTCTGATAGGAGAGTTTAAGTAATCAGCTATGAGATAGAACAATGAGCGTGAAACGACCTCACTGTTCCATTATAGAGGAGTAATTAGCAAAGGAACGTTTTCCATTGCCGGTGCAAACAGAAAATCCTATAAACAGCTGCCTCCTTGAAGAATATATGAGGTGGCTCAAAGCTTGTGCTTCTTAGATCACTCTTTTAACAAGATACCAGGGAGGAATGGGTTTTGATAAACCCCAAAATGACATAATACACAAGAGTGAGGCTCCACAACTACTGGTTCTTCAAGCACTGGAAACAAAATGTTCTGCAATTGGCTGAACCACGGCAGATGCTAACTGCATAACCCTGCAAAACTTCCCTTCATAGAGATACCTAAAACCACATGATCCCTCAACCACCTAGACCTTCCTGAACTTTTCAGGCTAGTAGACTCATGGAAAATACCTAATTACAAAACACCTTGCACATGAACTGCCTCCTAACAGATAATAGACTAAATTGCTCTACTTTGCATAAAGTTACAGTATACTAACAATTCAGAGTTCGTGCCTTCACCCAAGGAATTAAATACGCATACTAAGCTTACTTAAGATCCCTCTTTCAAAGGTCTACTCACTCTCAACAGTTAAGAAATCACAAACTGAAGAGTGACACAACAGAACAGAGACAAAAATTTATCACCAGAAAAGAATTTGGTAAATGTCACTAAACTACAATAATCCAAAGGTTCCAGGCAATGAGCTTTGCTTGTGAAATCTTCACCGCGGAAACTTTCATGAAGTTCAATACTCCATTAACGGTAATCCTCCATAAAATTAAGTGTAGCATAGCTTAACCTAAAATGTTCAATTAGATTCACCCGTATAGTTGCTACATGCAACTAGTAACATGGAGACGCAGTAGTTAGATAAGTTGTTGTCAGCCTATTTATGATCATAAAGAAAAACCTATTACAGATGCATACTTACACCTTTGTCTTACAAGGCAAAGAATTATTTAAGCCAGCAAATCCTAATCTTTATGTATTCAAATATCCAACAGCCTCGCCATTTTTTCATCCTCCTCATATGTTAAAAAGCTGCTGCTTGCTTCTCAAGCAAAAGTTCATCGCAAATACGATTCAGCTCAACATATTACAAGATAGCAGCAGAACAGTAATCATCGCCAATAAACACAGGAATCTAGTAACACGGTCCCTAAAATCAACGACAAGAAAACGAATATGATATATAGCAAACAGGTAAAATCAAAGAATACAAACTTGATCAATCATTTTATGAGACAATCATTTCTACTGAAAGATTACATTCACTATCATCATCCATACACACATCATTAAGAGGGAGACAGCAGCAAAACTCTCCCCCTTGAGGTCACCCAAAGTTTTAGAGCAGAACTCCGTCCTGCTCCGAAATTTCAAATATCACTGACGCATCATCGCGAAAGACAGCTAAATCACACCAATTTCTCAATCCTTCAAGGAATTAACGTCACCTCCACCAAAGCAATCATCCGAAACTAAACACATCAGAGCCTACGGCTACTCAACGGCAAAAGCGCAAGCAGGGATGAAGGAAAGAAGAAGATACTACAGCTACATTACCTATCAAAAGAATCCAAAGAAGCTCACAGAGAACACAATTATCTAAACACAACGTGGAAACAAAAGAGCAAATAATGGATAGTGCAAACTGTCACAGAACAACGAACTTCTACTTGGAGGGAGAGAGATGATTTGGTCGACGATCCAAATTCCAAACAAACAAGACAATGACAAGAAGATCCGATGAAGTTTAGCGAAGCTCCGATTAGAATCTCCTTTCACGCCCTGCAGATACGGAACGGAGATATACCACAGCTGACAGGGGAACCAATCAGAGCTGAATTTATAGCCCGGGGTTGCAAATGGGGCTCTCATTCGAGAGCCTTCGAAATTGACCTGATTTAACCTGAATATGGAAGAAAGCGAAAGCTATGAATGATGGGATGATCCCTTGCTGTTGACAGGTTGTGGGTCCGCTATTCCAGAATTGCCCCTCTATTCATCAAAATATCTCCGTACTGTTACGCTTCCAACTTTCGGTTACACATGAGCTAGCTAACCGGCACGTCTCGGATAGATACGATGACGTGTTGCCCAATCCTTGGATTTGCGTGCAAGTCATCAAGTCATTGTCGTTCATTCATTGGCCCTTCTACGACACCCCGGACTTGTGCCTGCGATGGCCGGTGATGGGCCAATAATAATTAGTAGTTAATTACCGAGGTTTATCACAACGCGCAATCTTCATAAGCAGATGTATCTGGTTCTTGTGTTGACACGTAGAAAGAAGGGGGAGACAGACGATGACGACATTTGGGAAAAAATTGGGAAATCTGACGCGGAAGGATCGAATTGATATTATAAATTATAAATATCTGGAAAGATATGGTCCGTCTTTACCAGATGGGGATGAGCATCTTTATATATTTTATGTATATTCGTTCAATTGTTACAATGTTCAATAATTGGTGCTGGTAAAAGATGTTGGCTTCCTTTTTTTTGACCAGAAGATGTTGGCTTCCTTAACGATTGAGGGTTTATTTCTTAACAAGCAATTAAATAACCAAATGAAACAATAAAGATGAAAGGACGTTTTATGGGATTACGTGTCAACAAACAAATCAAAATTAAAATGTTTATTGGTTTTATCGTAAAATTAAAAAAATTGATCCTCCTCCCTCCCTGTGCTTTTCAGTTTTGCTGAGGTGGCATCTCTCTGTTAGCCATATGGTATGTCATCGACCGTGGTTTAGTAATCATGAAATAAACTGAAAAGACATGGGGCTCAGCCCCAGACAAACATGAACATACTTCCTCTCTTTTATTACACACAATCACAGGTCGCATTAGGAACCAATGATGATACAAGCGTACCAATATTTGCAGTAATGGGATCTTACACAAAAGCTACCTAGTCAGAGCCACAGAAGAAAATTCAAGACACGGAGCCACCTAGCCGGCATGAGTGTGGCACCTTCAGCCCCAAAACCAAATACATGCAAAGATTCAAAGGCAAAATACATACTCCTAAAATATCAACTAGGTCAGGTCCTCCAATATAGATTAAACTAAGTCATCAACTCGTAATCACCTTCTACAACCAATCGATGGAACCCCCAGTCCCAATTGCTGTCGAAGATCCAGAGCCTTCAGCATATTTGATAGGAACCATGAAAAGGAAAGATTTACCGAGGATGGAAACTAGCAAAACATGAAGCAAAATGCCTTAGATGAATTTGTGAGATAAATCACAATAATCTGAAAACTGAGTGCTTGCACTTTCGTATAGATCACATTTTTGAATGATCCCTTGAAGCGTTAATGGCACACCCAATGCAGCTTCGCCTGAATTTGAAGGATGCCTTGGGACCAGAAAATAAAAAATTTGAAGTGACTTCATTTACTAGAATCCTTCTATTCCTTCCCTTTTCATTTCTTTTGACATCCTAGAGCTCCTCCACATCCCTAAAATGTGATGCACTCACCATAAAGTCTGTGAGACAGTAGCCTTGGACATGCCATCATATGCCACCTCCAACTTCATAAAGCGTCAGATATAATAACCATGGACCAAAGTCCACATTCACTGCAACTAAAAGTTCGAGAACATTTAGCTTTACTTGAAAAGGAACATCAATGCAGGAGGAAAAGAGAAGAAAAAAAGATGCTGAAGTGAAGTTCAGAGGCAGCACCACAAACACTAACCCCACCAAAAAAAAAGAATGTCAACTTGGTGGAATATTGAAGAGTGCAAGCAGTACTGTCATAGCATTAAGTTATGCAGGCAGAATTATGCGGTTTCATGACACGAATAATTGTGCTACCACTTTCAAAAGCGGGAAAGCACCCTTTTGAACTCATGCAAAGTTAATTGCTCTAGGAACATAGAGAATCCAACCCTCACTGGATTACTATATGCCTAAGAAAAATGAACTTTTCTCCAAACGAAGCTTCTTTTTTTCCCCATTTCAGATGGACTAATTAGGGGAGATGCCGAAAAAGCATAGAATTTTCTGCCATTTGATGACTCAAATCAGATGGTAAAGGCTGGAGTAATCCATCGTTTGACAAGTCTTCCAAGGATTTAATGTCTTGTTGTAATCGAGCCACATGTAGAATGGTATGATCAAGAACTAAAGGATCATCTGGGGGGTTATGGAGAAGGTTGAGCAAAGCCTGTTTATAAACTTGAGCAGACAATAACGGCCTTGCAACCTGCCGAGTTCTACAGAAAGTTGCCACCTTAATGACATGTTTACAGAGGTTTCCCAGCCGAGACCAGGAACAGTCACAAAGTGAAAATTCTGAACCAGGGTTCCAAACTGTATACACGAAGCTCCTCTCTGTCTGCGATATGATTTTTGCAAAATGGAGATTTTGGTCATCCAGTAGAACATCAACATCTGGAATATGGAGAGCATGGTACCAAGCACTGGAGGAGAAATAATTTTCCCATAGATTCTCAAGATACCCTGTCTCTAAATTGTACTGGTTTAGCCAGTATAAGGAGTGAAATTCAGTAGTTAAAGTGTGGATTAACCAATCGATTCTTGGCCAGAAATTAGCACAAGTCTCCTTCAAGAGCCGGGACTTTAGTCTTAGGTGATAGGATTCTATGGCGGCATGCAAGTCTGGAGTTGTAACAGGGAGTGACTTCACGCCATTAATCCACATATCTGCAAGATAGAACACAGAAACATACTTGTTTCAGGAAGTCTTGAGGATTGCGTGGTATTCAACATTTATATTTCAGGCGTATGGCCAAATGTAGAAATGCTTATGTAACTGTTTCCTGGTATGTTTTGTTTGGACGGTGAAGTTCTAATTTTGAATTATTTGTCCCACTAGATTTGGTTTCTTTGAGTCACTTATGCAATAGTTCATTATCTAACTCAGGCTCAGGTTTACTATTGAAATTGATTAATGCTAATGTTGGGGAACTTTAACTTTCCCTTGAAGCTCCTGTATATTGAAAATCACACGATGGTCAGATAAAGAAAGATTATAATGAAAAGATAATTGAAGATCCCTTCTTTATTATAGGGCAAGAGCACCGGTATCATCAACACATACAAAATTAACCAACACTTGAAAATACCTATATTTGATAGGCAGTGGCTCTTGAAATAGTCTATGAAACCACATTGATCAACAAATATTTGCATAAACTCTTCAATGGCATCTACAGCGCTAGGCCCACCTCTTGTAGAGTACAAAATCCCACCCAAGTGCCTGAACATCTCTTGTAGCACCTCAATGTTGCAGCATTTCTTTTGAAGCTTTTTAATCCAAGCACGGCGAACATGCCAAGTGCATAAAAGGATGCGACATTGAAAAGCCTCCCTGCAACAAAACATAATCTCACCCCTATTGCTTTTGAGACCCTCCTTCAAAGGAGGCGGAGAATTTAAATGGAAATAAAAAGAACTGCAGTGATATCATTACCTTATAATAGCAAATTCAGAGGATGGATTATCTAACAAAATGGCGTTAGGCTTCCATCTGGGGTCCTTGGTTCTTATTCTTTCACATAGTAACCCAATCCACTTATGAATGTCTTTATGGACCGAGGATGAGGAGATAATCCAAGCAACTGGAATTGCATTTTGGGATGAATCGAAAACAAGTAAAGAACAAAGTGGAAACTGTCGAGAAGGGGGGAAAAACATGAGGTTTTTGGCATACGCTATTCCACAATAACCATTGAAACTTATATATCATTCTGCTGACGACTAATTTTGCATCGCATCATAAATCAGTTTGCTGCTGATGATCAAGAAAGTTAATATCATATGTAATACAACCTAAAAGTGCATTTCCCTTTAAAACTAGTAGTAAATATACAAAACACTGCTAAATTTATGCCCATACCCCAAAAAAAGGAGCATTAAGAGGCACGATGCAATACCTTGAGCTTTTTTGAGCCAAATGTTGAATGAAAAGAGATAAAACTATCACGTCCATAACGAAGCATTTGTTGCAATTGCCAATCTGTCTGTATTCCCAAAACCAAGGGTTCTGAGACAGAATTGTCCTGGAAGAAGAAAACATGCTTCTGATTGCGTTGAACCCATATCCTTACACTGCATTCATCATTTTCCTGCAGTTCATGAGTAGTATTACGAATAATCCTTTCCATGTTACGAACATCATTTCGAGTGAGAAAATCATCACGATTATGTGGTCCCCCTTGCTTCTGCATCATCTCTGTGTGGTGTTGTATTATGTTGTCCAATGATATTCCAACATAAAGCATAGAAATCACTTTTTGGCGTAACTCGTCTGAAATTCGTGGAGCATACATAGCTCTTGTTCCTACAGCATTTCTGTCAAGTATCCCATGACAAGGTGACCCTGTTTTATCCACGTGTCTTCTTTGGTTATATATGATGAGGGCAAGCAGGGGTCGCATGTATAACCTCTTGACAGTGAAGTGGCAAAGGCAGCCTCTCATCATATGACGCCTCCCTGGCCTGCTCCCCTTTCCTGAAGTAGGTTTGGTACTTGCACCATCCCCAATACCTGATTCACTCTCTCGGTAGTCTTCCGGACCATAAGAACACCAATATCTAAAAATCACCATGTATAATTATCCAGCTGATTACATACACCTATGAATATTCCAAAAGAGCTTGGAAGAAAATGGCATTTTGTGTAACTTCAACAATGGGCATTTCTCCTCGGAATGAACTCTTAAAAAAAAATTCAGACAACTTAGCTTTGGCTACACACACATACGCACGCGCACACACACTGGAATGACATATAGCCATCCAGTAAAAGGTTAAAATCCAGAAGACACCAACACTATTATTTAGCAAATGTTAATCAAAAGAGAAGGTTGCCACCCAGTGATTTTTGGTACAAGATATCTTACAATGTATATTCTAGATATCCATCAACCCTTGGTTTAGTACTGCTCCCTTCAGGTCTTTTTCTTCTCGATTCTATCCGGAAGTTAGCAGGGCATTCTGCATTGGACGACTCCCCTTTAACAAAATCATCCACCCTAGCAAAAGGAATCAAAGCAATATCATCACCACCTTGGCGACCGCCTTCTACTTTAACCCACTTTATATGAGCAGCAGAAAATTCAGGGCAAGGAGGGTCTTGCACCGGAAGATTCAGAATGTCCTCCATTCTCGGCATCTGTAAATCAAAATAAATGTAAAAAAATAAAGCATATGGTGATTGATTATAATTCGGAGATTTCCATGATACGCGCATTATAATTTACGGACACCACAAGCACGCCTGTCACACTGAAATATGAGAAATGAAGATGCTTTTAATTTTTTCTTGCGTAGTCTTTTATACTTATCAGGTGCAATGAGATACTGAGGGTCACTGAACAAGTATGTTACATGCTCAAATGAGAAAGACGAGACAAACAGCAATGCCAGGTAATCATAAAGGTTTTAACATGTATAGGTGTCTCCAAAACAAACATAATTTCTTCCGTTGAATTTGGATAGTTGAACTCAATCATTTACATTTTCCAGGCGCACACAATTCACTCAATCAAATTCATTGATCTCAAGTACCTAGTTTAAGTGTTGTCAAAACTGAAACTACTTTTTCAGTCAATCCTTCAAACATCCAACAGGTTACTTAAGTAAGCTTCGTGAGAAACGGTTTGAATATTCCTCATACCCAAAAATAAAAAATAAAAAATTTCCTCTCTTTTTCCCTCAAGTGAACGCGGTTGGCCAGCTTGGGGATTCGGAGATTTTTTCTTTTTTTCTTTTTGGAAGGGAGAAATGAATAATAAGAAGCTGAAGTGAAGAAGAACACTGCACGCTCACCGTTAAAACGGAGAAGAGCCTATCTCCGACAACCGAGCGCGATTCGTCGACGCCAGCTCCAAAAGTGAAGTCAGAAACCGAACAACAGACCCTGGTCAAAGCAAAGCTACCAAATGGCACGAGGCTCGTCCCGCTACTACCCAACCCAAAAATATATCGGGCTGAAATTTTTTTAGTGACTTCTCTTGTTCTAGCCCAATTCTACCTGTCCATTGTGCTTCATAATTATGGAAGAAAAACCATTGAGTTAAATAAATAAAAACATGGAAAAAAATTTAGTGTTATGATAAAATAAAAAACAAAAACATGGAAATATCCTATTCATAATTTTTTTTTGGCTATATGCTTTTAATCCTGACGTAAAAACTCAGATCAAATTGGTGAACTGATCATTAGATGATTACAATAAATAGTCAAATTGAGGTATTGTTATCACTATGGTGAGCTAATTAAATTGGCCTCGCAAAAACATGGGAGATTAAAAGAATTTAATTAGCAGGGGATCAATGACCCCTCGTATGAGATTCAAGGCTTTGTTTCCGTCACCTGTTCCTTGCTTGGTTAACACAATTTTTGGGGGGTTAAATGTTGACGTGTTGAATAATCCAGATGGCAGCAATTAGTTGGTGCACTGGACCAAATGGACCTAAAGTACTGGACCTGAGTTTTCTTCTTTTGATAATTATATATATTTATTAGCGAGTAATGACACAAAATCTTCACGGCTAATTAACTGATTAGCTCCAATTAAGGTTTTTTTTTTTTTTTGGGGCCACGCTCCAATTCAGTTTGAAGCACTCCCGAGTTCCCATGACCTGACTATGGTTGGATTTTGTCGGACCTGACAAAATAGCGGTAATCTTTACAGGCACAGTACTTGCTTGCTATTTCAAGTTAACGAGAGTTTTTTTTTTTTAAAAATGCCAGCTGTCACTTTATTTCGGCGGGGACGTGGGATGAATTAGGCCACATGCAGCCGGCGTCCTTGGGACGGATTGAAAGAGAGAAAAGAAGAATGTTTAGTTTTTTTAAGAGAAAAAAATAATACTACCTCCGGTCTTAATTGTAAGACCCAATTGATTTATTTGAGGAGATTAAAGAAGTAAGTTAAGTTAGTTATTTGTAATAAATAAATGTTGTCATTCCTAAAATATCCTTACTAATTAAGTGTATTGGCTAGAACTATCATTATTAAAAGGACTATCTTAGAAAAATGTATAAATATGAGAGACAAAATGGATTGGGGTCTTATAATTAGAACTAAACAAAAAGTCAAACGAGGTCTTATATTAAGAACCGGAGGTAGTAACAGTTAATAAATATATAACAATTATTGAGAGTTTCTGCATCTTCAGCTAGCGACAGGGAGATTGTACAAATCATAAGTGTAGACGAAAAGCCGATAAAAAAAGGTAATTAAATTGTATGGAGTCTTTTCGAAAAGAGTAGATAAAAGCTAACGAGAACACTGAAAATAAGTTATTGAATGAGATTTTTCAATTAATAATATATTCAAAAATTTGGCTTCGACCCCACCTAATGGAATAATGTTTTGTTTTCGTTGTTGTTGTTTATATACTCTTCTGATCTTTAATATACGGTCTATTTAACTAATTTGATTATATTAAAGAAGTTAGGTAAGTTAGTTATTTATAAAAAAATATGACATGTTTTTCTTAAAATATCATAATTATTTTTCTTAATATTCTTTCTCCCTCACTTACTTGATTATGGTTGAGGGAGTTTCTATAGGGATAATTTAGAAAAAAATTGATAAATATGAGAAATAGGTCTTATATTTAGGATCAAAACTAACTTAATAATTAGGTCATATATTAAAGACTGAAAAAGTATAATATTGTGTATTAGAAAACTGCAAAATCCTAATAAACTATCAAAAGATAAACAAATAATGGTAAGTCAGCGATGATATCTATGTTCGTTTGTTTAATCAACGCAAGTAAATGACGTTAACTAGAGATTTTGAGCCTTTAACTGAAATTTATAATGCAGGAACTGAATCGGATGGCAAGAGCTTGATTGGTGTCTTGCACCTCTAGTTGACTTGGAATACCAAAAAAAAAAAGGCTTGGTATCTTGCATCCTTTTACTTATTCCCAACTTGCAAATAGTATGTATTCATTATTTAAAATAGTTCGTCTATATTTGAAAATATACTACTTCTATTTTTAATTATAAGATCTTATTTGTAGTTTACAAATAAGATTTTGTAATTAAAACTGAAGGTAGTATTAATTTTATAGCAGCCAGTTTTAATTCTTTGCTGCCGTACGTAGTTTGCCAATGGGAGTGTAATAAGTTAACCAATCTGCGTAAACCTTTTAATACTTATATGATAAATTTGTTGAACATGATGATCTTCTTATAACTTTTGGTCCTCTCAGTTGAGTTCGAAAATGGTTCGGACTTCGTATGATTCCCATTAATTTCATAATTATGCGCAATTAATCTTTATGATTTGAAGGGAAAATAACACCATGAGAATTGATTGCACTCTATATATCATGAAACTTTAGAAACTCAATTAATAAAAAATAAATTTTAAAAGCCAACTTGATAACTAATTGATAACTAAGGCAGTAACCAAAATAATTGATAACTTTTTCCCGTTGTATCGAAAAAAAAATTGATGACTGAGATAAATTTAACGGACTAAAAGTTTTATTGTCCATGAATACCTGCTATATCCTGTTATAAAGATGGGAATTGTTAGGCGTCCTTCCTCAGAGATAGAATTATATTATTGAAATAAAAAAGAACGAATGTTTAGTTTGTATCGGACAAATAAAAATAATATTCCTCTGGTCCTTAATATAGGACCAAATTGTTGAGTTGATTTTGGTCCTAAATATAAGACCCATTTCTCATATTTATCAGTTTTCTCTAAATTACCCTAATGGATGCTTTCTCAACCATAATCAAGTGGAAGAGGGAGATGGGGTATTAAGAAAGATGATTATGATGTTTTAGGAAAAACGTGTCACTTTTCTTATAATTAACTAACTTACCTAACTTCTTTAATCTAATCAAATTAGTTAAATGGGTCTTATATTAAAGACCGGAGGAGTAATTAATGAAAGTTTAATCACCGTTGTTAAGCAGAATAGGGCGATTGTACGCATCCTAAGTATATGGAAGAAAGGCCAAAAAATCGCTCCCAGTTGCAAACTAGCTAAATAAATAAAGAAATAGCAAGTTGATGATGCCTAGGGTCTTAGAAAACTAAAAAAATCCTAATAAACTATCGAAAGAAAAGCAAATAATGGTAAGTCAATGATAATGATGTTATGTGGTTGTTCGTTTGTTTAATTAACACAAGCAAATGACGTTAATTAGAGATTGAGCCTTTAACAAAAATTTATAATGCGGGAAATGATTCTAATGGTAAGAGTTTGATTAATTGGTATCTCACGCCTTTTTTTTTAATTCTCAACTTGGAAGGTTCTGTGTTTATTATTTAAAAAAATGACATAAAAATACCACTTGAAAGATTTTTGCAAAGATTTTGACGTGCTTTTTTTAATGCCAAATATTTTGATATGTTAGTATCACCTTTTTATCATTTTCAATTTAAATGGTATTTTTGAGTATTTTTTCCTAAAAATATATTAATTTATCGTAGCCAGTGGTAGTTTTTTGGTGTTGTACGTAGTTTGCCAACAGGAAAGAAGTAACCTTGAATTCACTATTTTTATCCTGAGTGTAATAAGTTACCCAATGTGCATAAACCTTTTTATACTTATATGATAAATTGGTTGAATTAATAAAGTAACAAAAGGTCTCTCATCTCATCAATCTCACTACTTAAAGAGGAGAGGACAGCCATCCAGTCATGTATTATCTCTTAATGAGGTTCAGGACTCCCATCACCGCACATTATGATCTTTCTTACAAACTTTAGTCGTCTCAGTTGAGTTTGAGAATAGTTAACACTCTGTAGGATTCCCATGAATTTATTAATTATGCGCAATTAATCCTATGAAAGACAAGACCATAAAATTAATTGCATATGATTATGAAAATTTAAAAACTTGGTTAATAAAAAAATTTAAAACCAAATTTATAACTAAGGCAGCAACAGAAGGAGTTGATAACTAAAATAAATTTAATGAGCTAAAGCTTTCATTATCCCCAAATGCTTGTTAAAAGTAACGGAGTTTATTAGATCAGGAAAATAATTAAAAGAATAAATAAAATTCCCGATGAAATGATCAGAGTATTTTGTTATTGGGATAATTAATAGGCAAGTCCTCATAGTCTTAGTTGGTTTTTAATCAGGTCCTTGTAATTTTTTTTCTTTTTATCAGGTCCTTATACTTTCACACGTTTTTAATCAAGTCCTTATAATTTTTTTTTCTTTTTATCAGGTCCTTATTGTTTTACTTTATTTTTAATTAAGTCCTTGTAGTTTTTATTCTAAAAATAATAAATTATCATAAAAAATCTTATGTTAATATTCTTTTAAATTTTTAGTTAAACAGATATATTATTTATTTTTCAATTCTGATTTTTATAATAATAAAATTCAAATTATAATAATAAAATTTTCTAAAATTAGAATATAATTATAAATCATTTATATTTAAGTATAATTAATTATTCTGATTAATTATTAATTCCGAAATGATTACATTAATTATTTTGTCCAATTATATAATATTAATTTAAAATGAAATTAATTTTAAAGAATAAAGTTAATAAATAATTTTTTAAAAATGACAAATGACCTAATTAAAAAATAAGTGAAACTATAAGGACCTAATAAAAAGAAAAAAAAATGGAGGGACCTAAGTAAAAACATGTAAAATTAAAAGGACCTGATAAAAAAAAATTTTATAAGGATCTAATTAAAAATCAAGTAAAACTATAAGAACCCGGAGATTAATTATCCCTTTGTTATTTATAACAATATTATTATTATTATTTTGATCTACAAGTTGTCTTTTTCTCGCCAATAGCCACGCGAACAGCTTGTCACCAAGAATAACATTGACTTTTTAGTTGTTTTACAGAAAAAGATAAATTACTCCTCCGGTCCTAATTATAAGACCCAAT